CTTTTGCTTCCCAGGAAGATCCTTCTTCCCAGGAGGCATCTGGGCTGCTGATTTTCAAGTAGTTGAGCTTTCTTTTTTTGGGGGGTCTTTTCTCTTTTATTTCTTTTTCTTTCTTTCTTTTTTTTTTTCTGAACCTCAATAGAGTCCTAAATACTAAGAGGTGTTAGAGTGAGTCTCCTAGCTCTGCAGAAGCAGAAGCCACGGGCTTCTGGCCAGCAGCCCCAAAGCACCAGCAAGCCTGTCGGCCGCTCACCCAAGGATGCTGTGGGGATCGGTCATGGCCCACGTCACCTGCCCCCTGCAGCGTGCTCTTCTCCTGGGTAGCCCAGCTGGCTCCTGAAACTCAGGGGTGAGGGGTAATACGGGTGGCGGCCCCCACTGGGAAAGCCGGTGCTAGGAGACCCAGGCCCAGTGGGCACTTCAGAGGCTCAGAACTTTCAAGTCAAGGCTGGGCACAGTGGCCAGTGACTGTAATCCCAGCAGCTCAGGAGGCTGGGGCAAGAGGACTGCAAGTTCAAGGCCAGCGTGGGCAACTTAATAGGTCAGTTTCTCAAAATAAAAAATCGAAAGAGCTTGGGATGTAGTTCCCTGGAAGAATACCCCTGGGTTCAATCCCTAGTACCGTAAAATAAAAATAAAAAACGACCCCCACAGGCTGGGGACATAGCTCAGTTGGTGGAGTGCTTGCCTTGCATGCACAAGGCTCTGGGTTCAAACCCCAGCACAAAAAAAAACCCCAAAACCCAAGGAGGTGCCACACTCAAGGAGGCAGGCTTCCTGACCTGGACAGAAGTCAGCGAGGCTGTGACAGGGTCTCAGAGGCTCCCTGTAGCCGCAGTCACCTTCCTGCCCGGGGACAGGTTTTCCAGATGAGCTCTATGCAGGGGCCACAGAATTCCTTCGAATGTCCCTGTGAAGCACAAGAAGATCTCAGCCGAGCTGAGCCTCCCAGGCCCCTCTCAGAGCCTGCTGGGAGCTTGGGGTCAAAGCCAGGGCCATCCTCAGCACGTCCTTTCTCCAGACCTGACTTGGCTTGACCAGCTGGTTCCCAGGGTGACCTGCCCCGCAGAGTGTGGGAGGGCTTTGCTATTGGAGGTGCTTTTAAGGAGAGGTCCCAGCCGTGCCTTGCCGGGTGTCTTCCACAATGTGGCCTTTCCTCCAGAGCCACCTGCTGTGGCCTTTGGCTGTGCCGCGCTGCCCTTGAACCTCTCTTTAGCGGGCACTGCAGCCATCTCTGTGCTCACATGGGCCCCTGTGCTGGGATCAGAGGGACACCTGAGTTTGGTTTTCTCATGCAGATTGTGCCACTGGGCTGTGCCTTTGGGCCTGGGTGACCTCCATGGGAGGGCACCCAACACAGGAGCTTCTGGGGACATAATCGCGTGTTCGCCATCTGTTCTGCGTCCTTGTTGCATTAGGTGCTGCTGGAAGACATGCGAGTAGAGGGTGAGGAGGTGACCCCACGTGCTCCCAATCTGATGCCCACGGTTTGAGCAGAAGCGAGGGTTGCGGCACGGGGGACAGTTGGGGACAGCTCAAGGAGTGCGTGAGCAGGGTGCAGCTCCCAGGTGTCTCAGTGCCCCGTGCGACAGCTGGTGGGACTCAGAGGACAGCTCTGGCAGATCCGTCCACCCCCCAGGGCTCCCTCGCTCCCGAAACAGAGCAGTTCCTCCTGGGGCCACAGGCCCTCCCTCCAGCCTCACTCTGTCCCCTCCTCCTTGGTCGCTTTGCCACCACGGTGTCAGCAGGTTGAGCCCCTCACGCTGTCAGCCCCAGTCCCTCTGCCAGCCCCACTTTCCCCCGAGGCGTGTGACCTGCCATCACCCTGGGGACCCCTCCCCGCTGCAGGCCTTCTCACGGCCGCTTTCTCGTCCCCTGCCTGTGGACAGCTGGCTCCCCGAGGCCCAGGCCGTCGGCTGTCTTCCCGTTGAACCTGAGTGTCCGAGAGCCGGGGGCAGAGCAGGGACTCCTTTGTTCTCAGGAACCCCAGCGTCCAAGAGCACCGCGACCGCAGTCAACTTTTCTGTAGCTGAAGGAGAGGACACTGCCCTGGTGACGGTGGCAGCCCTGTTAGGAGGAGGAGGAGGAGAAGACAACCCGGGGCTCCCGGCTGAGCTCCAGGCCTTTCCAGTGTCCATGTCGAGGCGCGGAAGCCGCCTGGTGGCCAGGCCGGAGCGCTCCGGGGGAAGAAGCCTGTGATTTCATCTGAGTGCGTTCACTCGGACCCTGGCTGTGGATTCCAGAAAGTTCCACTAGGTCAAAGATGTCGGCTGACGTGGCCTTTCAGACTTGAGGGGACGCACTCTGACTGACGTCCTGACCAAGACCCACCTTTGCCTTGATTCCTGGCCTCCTCTCTCTGACTCGGAACGGTCCTCTGCATCGCAGGGTCCTGGACTCAGGGGCAGGAGGAAGGAGCGCCCTCCTGACCCCCTGGTGCCTGGGGCAGCAGACACGGTGGTCAGACACCTTCCCGGGTCAGCGCCTTGAGGCAGAAGCGGGTTCTGTTTGGGAACCGGGTGGGGGCCCTGCTGAGCCTGGGATCTGGGGCCTCCCAGAGGTGCCTTTGGCCTTTCTGGACCAGGCTTTCCCTTGGGACTGATTCTGAGCTGAGGGTGGGTGGAGGACTTGGCCTTGCCCTTGGTCTTGGTGTCTGCTTGAGACCTTGCTGGGGGTTAGGAGGCACCTATCCCTGAGACACATGGACCCTGCCACCATCCCCACCGCCCCGGCTCCCCCTGCAGGGCTGGGCCTGGTGTGGTGACAGGCCGGAGCCCACACTGCCACCTCTCCACCTCCAGCTCTGGGTGGGCCAGCGTCCTGCGTCCACAGGTCCCCCTGGTCACCAGTCCACGGCTTCCATGTGGCCTCTGTCTTCAGCATTCAGGGTCCTGCACCTGGGAGTCCAGAGAGGGAGAACTTTGACTGGGTTCCCGCTTGTCCATGTTTACTGGGGGCAAGTGACTGGGGAATGGGCCGAATCAGACCCTCTGGGTGTGGGGCTAGGGCTGCGTTTCCGAGGCTTCTTTCTGGGCAGTGACGCTGACAGCTCCGCTCCAAGCGAGAAACACGCTCTGTGGGAATTTGCCTCTGGGATAGAATTTGACCTACTGGGGCGTTTCCCCCCATGCTGAGGTCATGATTAGGTCCAGCCTGGCCGGCTTTTCAACCCGAATCTTCTGGCTTCACCCATTTGGGGAGGAAGATGAAAGGAAGAGCCAACTCCCACACGACCCTTACGTCCTGGGTCCTTCTGAACGCGTGCAGGAGTCTCCAAGGGGCTTTCTTGAGCCTGCTTTTAGCTGCACCACCTGGTGGAAATTCAGGGTGCGATGTCCCACGCTGACAGGGATCACCTTGGACTTGCTAAGAACACCCCACCACGCCCACGTCACGCAGAGAGCAACCGTCCCATCAGTGGTCTGCAGCCAAGGCAATTAGTCAGATGACTTTTTTCTTGCAGCACTGGGTATGGAACCCAGGGCCTTATATGCCAGGCAAGTGTTCAACCACTGAGCTATACTCAGCTCAGCCACGGTTCTTAAAACAGTCCATGTGTAATGGTCCATTTTCTGTGCCAACTTGGCCAGGCTGTAATACCTTGTGATTCAGCCAAACTCCAACCGAGCTGCAGCTGCAGAGGTATTTTGAGGATGCAGTGACTTCTACAATCACTGTCTAGGAGCGAAGGAGGGTTGTCCTCTACCATGTTGGTGGGCCTCCTCCAATCAGTTGAAAGGCGTTTCGAGCACCACTAATATTTCCCAAGGAAGAAAAAAAATGCCACCTGTGAACTGTGGCAGCGATGGCCAGTCTCTAGCCCCAGCCTGCCCTGTGCACTTCAGACTTGCCTGACTTCCCCCAGTCATCTGGGCCAGTTCCTTGCAATGTATCTCTTCATCTGCCACTTCTGCGTCAGGCTCTGTAGCAGAACTCCAGGGCTCTCCCTTCACAGTGCTAACTTTTCTATTTCTATTTTTATTTTTTGGCACTGGGGATTGAACCCAGGGGTGTTTAACCACTGAGCACCATCCCCAGCCCTTTTTACTTTATGAGACAGGGTCTTACTAAGTTGCTGAGGCTGGCCTTGAACTTGTGATCCTCCTGCCTCCGCCTCCTGAGTTGCTGGATTACAGGCGTGCTGCGTCACCACCCCCAGCCATACGAACTGTAAAATGAGTTTTTCCTCCCGACTTTTTCTCTTCCAGGGACATTCTGTCTTTTCCCCTCCTGGTTAGCTTGTGGTGGGCCAGCCCTTGGGGTCTGTGGCCCTCAGCTTTCTCCTGCAGCCTCCCTCTGCTCCCCCGCTTTCCTTCCTCTCCACAGGTCCTGGGGGGCAGCCCAGGCCTGCCCCCAGCCACGCGGGACGCCCGGACAGGCCAGCTGTGAGTGTTTCTTTGGCAGTGTCTTAGCTGGTTGTTGTGAGTAATAGTGAAGGAAGCAATCAGCAAGTATACTGCCCTAGAAGTGCTGCACGTTGTTGGGCCAGAGGGAAGAAAAGCCGGAGACGCCTGGACACGGGTCGCCAGGACCCTGAGCTCTGCTCGGTCACGCCGCGGGGGGAGGGCTGCTGGGGACAGGGGGCCCTAGGGCCCCTGGAGAGGCCTGGTTAGGGCTGTTGAGGGCAGCAGGAGGGGGCTGGGGCGTGGGCCACTGCTGGCTGGGAGGAGTCTGCACCCAGGGACGCCGCACTCCTCTGCGTCGAGTTAGGTCGTGAGCAGGAGAGGTGTTATCCACCTTCAGAGGAGGAAGCGGAAGCCCCAGGAGGAGGGGTGGCTGAGGGTGCCGGTGACGGGAGGGGCGCGGGGCTTAGCCCCCAGACCTCCGGCTGGGGAATTCCTTCCTGACCTCTGGCCAGCGTCCTCAGGGATGGCCCGCCCGCAGGCTGCTCTGCTGAGAGTGGACACACCCTCCCCCAGGATTGGGCTCCCTTGGCAACCCCAGGGCGCACCGCTTGGGGCTTTGGGAGATGTGACTGCTCGGAGAATTTTCCTTTTCAGCTAATTCCAGGCCGAGGCTGTTGGCAGCAGTGACACTGGTGGCTAATGATAAAGGCTCCCCAAGGAACCCCAGCTGACAACCCACTGGCTCCTCCCACAGACGCCGACTTGGGGCCACTGTACTGTGGCCACCTGTTTGCCATGGCATCAGGAGCCGGACCCAGCCTGCAGAGGACCCAGAGGGAAGACACCGGGTGGCTTCTCAGGTCTCAGACATGGCAAGGTCGTGGCCTCCCGAAGTCGTGATGACCCCCGAGTGGGTCCCGTGCCTTTGTCTCTTGGCTCTGACACTGAACCCAGAGTGCTCCGCTTCTCTGTCCCATCGTTCTCAAGTCTGTGCTTACAGAAACCCATCTGAGTGAGCCGGGCTCGGTGGCACACGCCTGTAATCCAGCGGCTCCGGAGGCTGAGGCAGGAGGATCACGAGTTCAAAGGCAGCCTCAGCAATTTAGTGAGGCCCTAAGTAACTCAGTGAGACCCCCATCTCTAAATAAAATACAAAAAAGCCTGGGATATGGCTCAGTGGTTATGCGCTCGGGGTTCAATCCCCCATACCAGAAAAAAAGAAATTCACCCAAGCCCAAGAGGTGAAGCCGAAGTCAGCAGCTTACTCCTTGGACCCCAATGATCAAGACAATCCTCCAAGGTCCATGTGGCACCAAAGGTGAGCAGCCTCCCAGACCACTGATGCAGGCCAGGGACAGCACCTGTGTGACCCCAGCCTCAGTATGTCCCTGCCCTGGTCCCCTTCCAATCTCTGCCCGGGGCTCCTCCGTCGGGGGCACCTGTGGGACCCCATCTCTGCTCTCTTCCTGTAACCCTGCTTCCTCGTGCTGGCCAGGAGAGGAGCCTGTTTCCATCCTGACCACTGGGCGAGACTCAGAGGCCAGTCAGGGAGGTTCCAGGGTCACACCTCCTCCCTTTCTCTCGGTGCTGGAGGGGAAGTTTCTGGCCCCACTCCTCAGCAACCCAGCCCCTGAGGCATCCGCTCTCTTTTTCCTTAAATAGACTGGAGCACAGAGGGTCCCTTTGTAATAGCACATCAGATTGCCCTGTGCCCACTGGGCCACAAACTCCCTTGGGCCCCAGCCCTGGGGGGGGGGGGGGGCGGGCGTGGGCTGCAGTGGGGCTGATGAAGTCCTGGAATGCTGGCCGCTGGGACAGACCACACTCAGATTCCTCCCGGGAGTTTTGACCGAGGCAGCACAGAGAACTGCTTCAAGCCAAAGTCTTTACATTTTTCCCAGTTTTCGGCAGAAGTGAAGAATGTGGGCCTTCCCTGACCCGAGGCTGACGCAGGGCCCTGCATCTTTAAATTGAAGGGACCACACTCTTGGTGCGTGATCTCACTAGCCGATTAATTTGAGTTCGAGTGAACTCGTTTGCAGGAGACCTCTTTCCTATGTAGCTGGGCTTTCACTTTTGCCAGTATAAAACCAAGAAAAACTGTCCTCGGAGAATTCAGCTTAGCAGTGCCTGAGAGTAAGTAAGGAATCGGGAGATCAGTCTCTGCTTCAAACAGAACTTGTCTGTAGGGTGATTCAGAGCAGTCAGGAGAGGTTCTGCTGTGTCCCCCCCCCCTCTCTCTCTCTCACACACACACACACACACACACACACACACACTCTTCCTTTGGGGAATGTATGAGGAGATTCTTGAAAGTCGGTCATTGGAAAGTTGGAAAGGGATCAAGAATTTTATGGTTGTGGGTTGGGTGGGTAAAGGGGAGTTTAGCCTACACTAAGCCTTAGGTTTGATCCCCCACCACCACCAAAAAAAGAATTTCATGGTTGAACTTAAGGATGGAGGCTGTAGAGTTCAGATGCAAATCTTAGGTTTGGGGTGGGGGTGGGGGTTTGATCTTGGCTTCAAGGCAGAGTGAGGTTTAAAAGAATATTTGGTTTAAACTCTCTGGGTGCAGTAATATGCGCCTGTAACCCAAGCTACTCAGGAGGCTGAGATTGGAGGATCACAAGTTTGAGGCCAGCCTGGGTAACTTAGCAACACTCTGGGTCTCAAAATTTTAAAAAATTAAAAGTGCTGGGAATGTAGCTCAATGGTAGAGTGCCCCACACCCTGCCAAGTTCAATCTGCAATACCACAACAAAACAAAACAAAGAAATATACATGCACACATATATATTTAAGTATTTATATGCATATGTACTTAATGTACTCTGTGGTTTATACCAATATCAACTTCACAGTTTTATTATCTTATGCACAGGATGTTACCGTTGGAGGAAACTGGGTGAAGGGTACACAGGATCTCTACATTTTTAATTTGCAATTGCTTATCAATCTATGAGTCTTTTTGAAATAACGTGTTAAAGATGGGGATATAGCTCAGTGGTAGAGTGTATGCTTCACGCACAAAGTCCTGAGTTCAATCCCCAAACTGCCCCCCTCCAAAAAAATTAAGTTAAAACATACATATTTAAGAGGTGGGCTCGATGGTACATGCCTGTAATACCAGCTACTCTGGAGGCTGAGGCAGGGGGATTGCAAGTTCAAGGCCAGCCTGGGAAACTTAGTGAGATCCTGTCTCAAAAACAAGAAACAAAACATATTGACTTTTGACTAAATGTGCTGTTATCCTGGATCAGATTCTGGAGCAAAAAAAAAAAAAAAAGAGAGAGAGAGAGAGATGAGTAGAAAAACTAGTGAAATCCAGAAAAGTCTTCAGTTAAAAGTGCGGCACTGACGTCAGTTTCCTTCTCTTCCTTGTGGTGCTGGGGCAGGAGCCCAGGGCCTGGCTTGCTCCCAGTGCTCACCCCACCACTGAGCTACACGCCCAGCCCCTCACGGTCCATTTCAGAGTTTTGACAAAGGTGCAGTGGTGATGTAAGACGCCAGCATCAGAGGGAACAGGGTAAAGGGTACGAGGAAACTCTGCTATCCTTTGCGGGTTTTCTGTAAATCTAGAATTATTCCAGAATAAATGCTAATTAAAAACAGAGTGTATCCATGTGTGCACATGCACATTTACACTGGAACACAGCCAGGCACGGGAGCTTTGAAGACACACTTCCTCTAGGTGAGCACCCACAGTGCTCTGGATGGGGCCCTTGACAAGTGAGCTGCAGGGTGGTGTTGCCCCCTGATCTGGCGGATGGTCAGAGGGAACCCCGCAGTGTTCTTAAAACCCAGTGGGAGCATTGAGCTCTCCCCCATCCAGGTCATAATAATGCAGTGTCAAAATACAGTCCCGTTTCCCAGAGCAGAAACCGAGGCACAGACGACCCTGAAGTAAGCAGATTGTGATTTTCCAGAATATTTAAAACCAGATCATCTTTTGTTTTCCAAGCATATGTTTGCAAATTTGCAGAGTAATCTAGAAACCGTGGCTGTTGCAACATAAAAAGAAATGAACTTTGCCACCGTTTTCTGGGCTGTCTTCAGGATCAGGGGCCAAAACTGGTGTGTGGGGTGGGGGATTCTGTCAAAATGGAAGTACTGATTTTGCACCTCTCCTCCCTGGTGCTTGGCCAGGCATGTCCAGGGGCCCCAGAGCACCTGGTGGCTTGCTGCCCAGTGTCTGCTCCTCTCCACGCAGCACTGCCTGGTGTTTGGGGGGAAGCAGATGCAGGCCCAGGGCTCCCACTAAGATGCCCCTGGTCCTCCAGCCCCGCCCCCTGGTCCTCCAGCCCCGGGCCCTGGACTGGCCTTGGTCTCCCTCTGTTCTCAAGCTGCCTTTTCTTTCCAGTTGGAACCCAACCTTTTTGCTTGGGTTCCCCAGAGTCCCCTGACCCACCTGCTATGGACAGAGGAGGGGGAGAAATGGACTCTCATCCTTCATCCCCGGAGACCTTGCTGTGTCCATCGTCCCCCAAGGCCAGGTCACCTAGAGTCACTTTAGACAAGCCCCTTCCTCCTCCTAGGCCAGAACCAGAAAGCTCAAAATAAATTGGTGAATACGAGGATCCTGGTAGCCTTCAGCCAAGAGGCTTTTTGTGCACCCCAAGCTTTCCCATAGCGGCTCTTCACGCTGCAGGGGGGACTCTCCCGGTTCCTGATGCTCTCACAGCCACACAAGCATCCTGCCATGAGGCATTTCCATACCAAAGTAGAAGTCTCAGGTGATCCCGTCTGCCTCTCAGTAAGTAACTTTAGGCTGTGGGGTGGGGGGATTGAACCCCGGGCCTCCCTCCTGCTGGGCCCTTGCAGGGGGCCTCCTCAGCCACGCCTTGCCTGTCTGAAACCACTTAACCCCTGCACCTGGGATCCAGTGAGAAGAGCAGAGATAGGGAGATGGCAGCGTAGGAGCCCCACACAGCCTCCCCCCGTGGCCGGGAAGCTTCGGCTCGGCTCAGATCAGCGGGGCCGGCTGGTTGTTAGAAACTGCTGGGGTTCCAAGTGTCCCCCACAAAGCCTGGGTGGGAAACTTAATCCCCAAGGCAACAGTGTGGGGAGCTGGGGCCTGAGGATTCGGCCGTGAAGGGGGGTGAACACAGGGACGTGGTCACCATGGAAGCCGGGAGCTGAGCTGTGTCCGTCTCTCCTTCCTCACCGGATCTTCCCCCCAACTCCTGCCACCTGGCCTTCTGCTGTGGGGTGACACAGCAGGAGGCCCCTCGCCAGACACCCTGGCCTCTTGATCTCGCCTTCTCAACTTCTAGAACTGTAAGAAATAAATTTGTCTTTATAAACTAGCCAGTGTGTGGTGTCTTGTCAGAGGGGCACAAAGGGGACCAAGAGGGCACGTGGTGACGCGGTGGCTCCTGGTGGCGTCACTGTGTCCTGTTCCTCTTTGCTATCTGCTAACAGCAGAGCTGGCTTTTGGTGCGTGGCCTGTACCGCCTCCCCGGGCCCCGTGGCTGGGTGACGGTGCTGGGCCACAGGCTTCCCTAGGGCGCCAGGCCACAAGAACTCTGCTGCCCACACCAGAACTCGCACCCCGGGCGGGAGCAGGACTTGGTGCCCACTTCCCAATGGGGTCACAGCCAGTGGGGCTGCGTGGGGTGGGAAGTCTCCGTCCCACCAAGGCCAGGGCTGCCAGCAGACAGGAACTAGAGTACCCCTCTTCTAGGCACGGGGCTGCCTCTAGCACCAGTCGGAACTGCACGGATGGTTCATCGGAATTTGGAAAGGATTTTCTTGGTTCCGGGAGTCGTAGCCATCTGGGAAGTGGACGATTTTCTGGGGGCTGCCATAACAGAGCCCCACAGACTGGGCAGTTTAAACTACAGAAATCCATTCTCTACGGTTCTGGAGGCTGGAAATCTGAGACGAGTTGTGTCTGGTGGGCTCCTTCCAAGGTGTCTCTGCTTGGCTTACAGGTGACTTCTCCCTCTGTCCTCCTACACTCCTCTCCATGTGTCCCTACCCAAGTGGCCTCTTGTTGTAAGGACACTTGGACTAGGGCCATATTGGACAAGGGTCATCCGAATGACCAATTTTAACCTAATCACCTCTTGGAAGACCCTGCCTCTAAACACAGTCGCATTCTGAGGTCCTGGGGGTTGGGACCCCAACATATAAATGGGGGGTCACAGCAGGGATCTTCCTGGACACTCCACAATCACGCCTGAACGGTTCAATGGTGCCCTCTGAGCTGAGCTGCCAGCCCCAGGAAAGAGCCCACACACTGGGACTCGCTGCCCGCAGGATGGCCCTGGAGGTCACCCAAGGGCGTGAGGCTGACGGCAGTTACTTCGCTGGCTTTCAGATACCACCGGAAGAGCCTGGGCAGAGCGCGAGTCAGCTGTTCCCAGTTCCTGGGGGCAGAGCCGGAGGAGATGAGTGTGAGCAGGAGGACTGGGGTCAGACACCGGAGCAGGAGGGGCAGGAGCCAGGCCTAGGACACAGGCTGCCGTCGGCCTGACAGCCTGGTGAAGGCTGACTCCGAGTCCCTGTCCTGGGTGCCTGGACCCTCAGGGGGCTCCCCAGGCAGGCGTAGAAGAAAAAGTGAGGGTGGTGGTGAGGCCATTGCTGTTGAAGCCGGCTCGTGGCTCCCTGGAGACTCATAGACTTTTGTACATGTTTGAAATTTTCCATAACAGAAAGGCAGGAGAAGGAGAAGGAAAGGGAGGGAGAAGAGAAGCAAGAAAGAAGAAATGCTCTTAAGAGATTCTGATGCCTATCTGGGTCCTCAAACCTGTCTTGGCTAGGGGGAGGAGGTGTAGCTGGAGGGGGAGGAGGTGTAGCTGGAGGGGGAGTCTTACATGGTGTGTGCAGCGCCTCCTTGTGGTGATCAGGTGGCACTACGGACACAAAGGTGACCGGCTATCTGGGTGTGAATCACCCTGTCCCAGGCCTGACCTTGGAGGGGCAGGGAGGCCAGCCCTCCCAGCAGACTCTTAACCTTGGTATACCCCAGACTCCCTGCCAGTCCACCAAAGCCTGTGGTCCCTTGGGATAAAGACATAAAGTAGAGTGGGATTACAAAGCTAATCAATTACAGCCAAATACAATTCCTGAACTACAAAATAAAACCAAAATTGGTATAGAGCCTCGCAGGTGCCTCTTTTAGCTGGTCTAATAACAACTGTGATTTAAAAATAGTGCTGAGAACTAATGGTATTTGAGAGTCTGCAACAACTGCAATATGATATGAAAACATCTATGATGTTTCTTTCTTTCTTTCATATTTATTAATTTATTTACTTATTTAATTTTTGAAGCGAGGGCTCACTGTTGCCCAGGCTGAACCTAAACTCCTGGGCTCAAGCGATCCTCTTGCCTCAGCCTCCCAAGTAGCTGGAACTGCAGTCACCACCACGCCTAATGTCTACTGTGAATCCCAGGGACTGCTAAAACAAGAAACAAAACTCTCCTGAGAGGTGTCGCCTACATTCATAAATAAGGAAATGGTCGAATCCTGGGAGAAGCCAGTGAGAACAAGAATGTGCTGGGTCACCCTCCAGGGTAGCTGACCTGCCTATCTTCATAAGCTGGCTGCCCCATAGTCCCATCATTCATTCCACAAATACTGATGGAGGTCCTACCATATGTGCGGCAGACACTGCACAATGTAAACTGGCGAGTCCCTGCCCTTATCAAGCATACATTCTGCAGGGACAGATAGTAAGCAGCAGCACACAAAAGACAGTCTGCCAACTCAACACTTAGGTAAGCATTTCCCATCGAGATAGCACATACAGTGTGTTGTATGCATGAGTGACATACAATTCTATTTATTGAAAGTTTTCTTTTAATCCCATTTGCCTTAAAGCCAGGATTTTCTGCCTAGTTTGACCCACATTTGATCCGCTTTTATAATTCAAAAGATCTTTTACATTGTCTGGAAGGTTCTGAAAGGCTTCACGGGAAGAGGGGTGCTCCCAGCTCTTACCTCCTTTCCCAGCCCATGCTAAGAGTCACAGCTTATCTGAGTGTGGTGACGCATGCATGTAATCCCAGTTACTCAGGAGACTGAGTCAGGAGGATCACAAGTTCAAGACTGGCCCAGGCAAGTTAGCAAGACCCTGTCTCAAAGTAAAATAAAAATTAAAGAGGGTGTGTAGCTCAGTGTAGAGCACCTGCTTGGCTTGTTGGAAGCCCTGGGTTGGTTCCCAGAAAGAAAATAAAAGAGTCAGTTTAGTCATAGCAACATTGTTTACCATCATGAAGAGGTGGAAACAAACTGGGTGTCATCAACACATGATAAACAAAACGTGATGTAGCTGATACTGTGCCACTTGGGAGGCTGAGCCCAGGAGTTCTAGGTCAACCTGGATGGCACAGTAAAACCCCATCTCAAAATAATAACAATGACGACAATGAAATCTAGTCCTCTGATGGAATGTTAATTTGGCCATAAAAAGACACACGCAAAAAAAAAAAAAAAAGACTCATGCAATAGAAGGGACAGTTTGTGTGTGGGAGGGGGTACTGGGGATTGAACCCAGGGTTGCTCAAACACTGATCCACATCCCTTTTTAAAAATATTTTTTAAAAAATATATAATAAGTCCTTTTAAAAACTATTTTATTGGGAGAGGGTCTCTCTGAGTTGCTTTGGGCCTCACTAAGTTGCTGAGGCTGACTTTGAACTCACGACCCTCCTGCGTCAGCCTCCCGAGCTGCTGGGATTACAGATGTCCACTACTGTGCCTGGCAGCAGGGACAAATCCTGAAGACATCATGCAAGGTTAGATAAAGGACAAATATTGTTGATTCCACTGACATGAAATGTCCAGGATCAGCAAATTCAGAGAGACCGACAGCAGATCGGAGCCAGGGGAGGGGGCCATCGAGGTTATTGCTTAAGGGGTGCAGAGTTTCTGTTGGGAGTGATGAAAAGGTTTTGGAAACAGACAGTGGTGACGGTTGCTCAACAGTGTGAATGCTGTTAACACTACTGAATTGTGTACCTAAGACCGAAGTGGCTGGCAGGGTAGCTCAGAGACAGAGCGTGCTAGCATGTGCAAGGCCTGGGATCCATCTCAAGCACAAACACAAAAAAAAAAGGGAAAGAAAGAGGTTGAAATGATAATGTCAACGTTACATAGGTTTTATGATAATTACAGTAATAATAAAAGTCATGTTTGAAGGTTTCTTTCTGGCACACTGATGTCCCTCCTGGTCACTGGGGTGCCTGAGCCTCTCCCCATCCACACAGTCGCTAGGACCTCTCTTCATTCTCCTGCCTTCTTCAACACCATCTTTCCTTTTGTGGTAATGGGGATGGAACCCAGGGCCGCATGCACACTAGGCACGAGCTAGATCCCCAGCCCTCTTTCTTTTCCTTTTCTTTTCTTGAGACAGGGTCCAGCTAAGTTTCCCAGAGTGGCCTTAAACTTGCCATCCTCCTGCTTCAGCCTCAGGAGTCCTGGGATTCCAGGCATGGTCACCGTGCCCGGCTCTTATACACCATCTTGATGCTGACCATGGCCTCCTTCCTCTCTCAGCGGACACCGCCCCAGCTCCAGGACCCCCCAGGGTCGGTGTAATGGCTGGCTGGTGCCCATGGCCTCCCCTAAACTTGCTCCCTACAGTGAAAAGCAAGTCTGGCCTTTAGCCCCGAAGCCCAGAATCTTCCTTGACCCCTCCTCTCACAGCCCATCCCTATGTAAATTCTCAGCTCTGCAGGTACCTCCTCCGCCTGTTGTCCCCCCCATCAGATGACACCGCAGCCTCTCTGCTGGGCTGTATTCCTTGCCCCCTCTTTTAAATCAGCTCTCTCCAGGCCTCAGTTCAGCCCTCTAGTGGCTCCCAGGCCACCTGCATGTCAAAACTAGGGTCCTCTCACTGACTGTAGGCCCCAGGTGATCTCCCCTGTCACCACCTCTTGCCCCCTTCATACAGAGCCCCCTCCCTCGACTCAATAAATCTCACGGAGTCCCCCCTCTCTGCTTCCAGCCAGAGAAAACTCTATAAAGGGTTCCCGTGTTTAGGCCAGGCCACCTGGGGGATTACCCAGGGACTTGAGTTAGCTCTTGAGTTATCTCTTCAAAATCCCCTCACATTAGGACCCAGTTCAGCATATGATTGAAAATCAGGGAACAGGAATCTTGGCTTGGCAGGGGTGGGGGCATATCTAGAGTCCTGCCCGTCAAACATGACCAGGACAGAGGTGCAGAATCAGGCTTCAACTTTTTCATTACACCATAAATCTCTCCTCTGGACTAGCCAGTCCTACCTGCAAAACTAGGCCCAGGTGGACGCAGAGAGGAAAACAGACCCTCCCTCCAGTGGCTTAGCCACCAGCC